GACTAAGAAATCTCTATTTGCTGTTTATTCTCTTTTGCACTTGCAGACATATTTCTCTGCAATTTTATCTGGAGCTTGCCTATTGTAAATATGAAATATGTTATGTAAATGTGAATTTAACATCATTTTATATGACTGGAGATAAATATGATAAATATATAAAGAAGATTAATTATGGAACTTTCTATAAAGTAAAAAATGCATGTATATTTTGGATAAAGAAAAGCAAACCTCAATTTGAGAAGATGCAATTAAATGTATGTGTTTAGGTTATATTGTCATGCTAATTAGCAATGGTAGGAACCAATTAGGACTAGGGCTACCAAATCACCAGACTACACTGCATATTCACTAGTGCACCTTTACTGCTCTACCGTGGGTTTGTTTTTTGGTTTTTTTTTGTTTTTTTGGTTTTTTTTTTTTTTGCTAGAATTAGATAAAACTGAAGTAACTTCTTCTGAAGTGACTTCTTTTAAAAATTCCATATTGTTGAGCATTTTGAGCCAAATCTTGTTGGCTGCGTTTTCATAAATTGTCCCACTGAAGTTACCATAACTCCTTGTGTGAGAAAGACTTTGGCTATAGAAAATACATGTGGCTGTTTTAGGTAGCAATTAAAAAATACGAGATGCAAAAAAACCCTTATTTCTGTTGTTTGAATAAGTGGGGTTTGTAATCTGTTACTTGCAAAATGCTGGAAGTGAGATTTTCATTAAAAATACTATGACAATGACATGTATTTCTCAACATTACACACCTCATTTATCATTCTGGAATGAGGACCAGGTACCACGTGAATGTAGAGTTTGTGAAGGTATCAACTCGCAGCCCTGGAGGCTGATGACCCCTCTTTATCTACACAGCAGGTAAGGCACAAACGGTGGCAATGTGAGCTCTCTCTGCACTCCCCTGCCAGTGTGCCTGACTGCTAATCTGGAGGAACAAAGGAAAGATAGCATATGGATAGCAGATTGTACTGAGTGCTGAAAGAGGACTGAGGAAATCTATGTTGGGAGTGTGGCTCTGCCAAAGATCTCTTGTATGACTTTGGCCTTGTCACTTAATCTCCGTCTGTCTCAGTTCCCCTTTGCAAACAGGGAGAAGGCGTCTCCTCTCCCCCAGGCTTTGCCTAGAAATCTGTTCAGACTGTGAGTTCTCTTGGACAGTGTGTACAGTGTGGGGTGAAGTACGACTGAGCTTCATTGGGTTCTCTAACTGCTGCTATCATCCGAGTAATAGGAATTACTATTAACAGAAGTGTAACAAAGAAATCTATGTCTTGTTGATAGATTTTACTCATCTTTTCAGGCCATTCAATCTTTGGCCTCTGGGTGAAGGGTATGAACAAGGCAGGCAATTAGTGTCAGGAGTAGAGCTGTGAATTCTTCTTTTATAGGGTTCCAAGTAATGCTGGAAATAGTGGCATTGGTGTTCTCTTCATTTTTTTTTTCACCTGTCTTTTAGTGCCTTTTGAAGATACTTGTGCCAAAATAACATCACAGTATTTCTGCAATGCACAAATTGAAGTGCTGTGCAGAAAGCTGTATTTTGCTTTACTTTGGCTCTAGAGATTGCTCCCTGAGAGGTACAAAAAACCCTCAGAAAAAAAAAAGAAAAAAAAAAGAAAAGAAAAGAAAAGAAAAGGAAAAAAAGAAAAAAAAAAAAGTAAAGACTAAGGCAGTGACTGTGGCTTTTATGTCTCTATTATGCACTGTGCATATTTATAGGGCAGTATAAAGGACACATAATAATCCACAAACACTGCATTCTGTGCCCTTGTCTGCCAACTGTGCTGATGTGCTACCTGATGTAGCTACTGCTACGACATTGGATGCAATTTTTAGTTTGACCTGAAATGTATGTCTGTTTTCCACCCACAGTTTTGCCAATCTAAATAATTCCAAGTGCAGTTTTTTAGACATAACCATTGGTGAGTATAACTGGCCATTATGCCAGAATTTTTCAAAGGAATCGTAGGAAAGGAACTTCAAAATGAACTGAATGCCTAAAGTTCTCCTATATCTGAGAATATGACAAAGTACCTTCTCTTCACATGTTGTTGGTCTAGAAGACGTCATTTACACCTGCAGTTGTAAGCATGCATAGAAGAAAGAAACTATAGAGATTTAGTTATAATACAGAGAAACTATATTATAGATATAGAGATATAGACATATAATTAAATCAGAAATTGAAAAACAATTGTGGTTTTTTGCAGGAAAGAAAATGTTGGACCAATGTGATAATTTTTTTCACTTTTTTTTTTTTTTCGTTTTTTGGGTGATCAGTGAACTCTCTACTACGGGGGCTTTAATTTGCCTTCCAAAACGCTTCCAAAACACTTCCAAAGCTGTCTACAGAGTTCACACAGAAAAGTTGTCATTATTCATATCAGTGGAATAAAGTAGGGAGAAGTTCTTTTGCAAGTGAATGGTTGGACAGAATTTTTCAATAGCCAATATTTTCAATATCCTAAGGGCTTAAGCTCTGGTGGCTGTAAAATAGGCAAGACCAAAGTGGAGTATCCAAATCTGTACTCTCACAATCACAGTTGTCACCTGAAACCTTTCAGGACTTAGAATTTTCTTAATGTTCTGCTTTGTTGTGCAAACCCATTGAAAAAACACTTCAGAGGGCACCCATTTCTTACTAATGTAAACTTTCTGAGGAGTATCCAAAGATGTGACCTCTGGGTGAACCTTTAACCTTCCCCTTAATTATTTGTTTGAAGACAGTGTCGAGTTCTCCTGCTGAGAGCCAAGGCCCATAATGCTTCGCAGCCCTGTGAGTAAGGGTGTGCTTGCAGGGAAGTGGAAAGGGGCATAAATAAGGGGACCACCAGATGTAAACAATAAAAGTAGTTGGGGTTTAAATAAAAAAAAAAAAGAAGAAGAAGAAGAAAAAAGAAAAAAAAGAAAAAAAAAAAGCAATTTGGTTTCCCTGAAGACTGGCCTGATTGAAGAACACGGGTTAGTAAGACGAAAGGCGGGGGGGGAGGGAGGATGCCTGTTGTCTGTGATTTTTTACAGGCCTAAATAAGCGTTCATTCCATTCTTTAAAACCTTGCCATCTGTATACACCATTAGAAGCTCATAGGAGAAGAGAAAACAGTCTTATCAGGCTTTCCTGTTAATCTCTATTGGCCTTAACTTTAGCTGATAAAAGGCATGCTGGCTAGAGAGGGTTCAGGTCAGCCTCCATTTGGTCAGCACATAACATTACTGGAAAGCAGCTAAGCAAATTAAGTTCTGTTGGAGACCTTAGTCTTTGAGGACAGAAACACATCTAGAAATCACAGTGCCAAGGCAAGAAATGCCTTCCCTGCACTGTAGTCAGAAGGGAATAAACAAGTGCGTCGACTGTGTCTGAGTTTTTATTTTAATACCTGAAGTCATGAGTAATTCTGAGGCAGGATGACATTTCTGACAACTGAATTATACTTTTCTTAAAGAATAAAGAATGTCTTCAGGATGTAAACAGAGAGATGCAAAAGAGCCCTTTAGTGTTACTTGTAGCATTTATGCATCTGTCTAATGAAATTTCCACAACTGTGATTACAGGAGCTGCAATCGAAGGTGTTCCATCCTTTATTATCTGCGAGGGAATTTCGCGGGGGAGGCGGGAGGGAACGCAACAAAAGGGCTCACGGAGTTGATGCTATAGAAAGGCCAGCAATTTGCTAAATGAGCAGATGAACTTAGTTTTCAGCTCCTAACTGAAAGACTTCGCGGGGCCTTGGATCGGGCCCAACGGCAATTATTGGAGGCTGTTTTGGATGATGGGCATGTTAGTATTTCTGAAGAGGATTAAACACCAGTATTCGCCTTCATTAGCGCTCCTTAAGGGTCACGGGCCCAAAGCCCGGGCTGTGGAACAGCACACAAAACCTGTGCGGAGCTCGGAGTGTTCTCCAGCACAAAGGGGTACAAAAACAAGTGTGGCCGTGAGTGATGGAGAATTGCTCCGTTTTGAGAGAAACGGTGCGAAAAACTGAGCTTGAAAATTATTTCGGTGAAATTAATGTGCCTGAGTTTGTGCTGCTGTGTGTAGCTGTGCATTAAGCTAACAAGAAATATGCAAGTACTTATTTTTGGATTACCCGTAAAATTAAAGCCAGGCTCCGCAGCCGGCTAACCACCTTCCCCAGCGTTCAGAAGCCCCAGCACTCAGCGCAGGGCCTGGTTGGAGCGAGAAGGAGGGAGGGGGAAGAAAAAAAGGGGGAAAAAAAAAAAAAAAAAGAGAGAGAGAGGGAGAAGTTATTTTGGGCCTAATCCCAACCACATGTACCTGCGGCCGCTGCCGCTAACGAGCGCGAGGTGCCTGGCTTTACGGCCGGGCGCGGGCTGCCCCGCGCGGCCGCAGAGGTCGCCCCCGGCCGGCACTGACCTCGCGGCGACCCCGCGCTTTACGGGCGGCGGCGGCAGGAGCTGCGGAGGAGCAGGAGCCTTTCTGGGCCGGCCCTTATTGCTGCTGCTGCGCTGGTGATAAAACTTCAGACAGCCTAATTGATGGCTCTGCTGACCTAACAATACCTTGTGAAAGCACGGTGTGGCAAAGCCTGGTCCTCATTTATGGCCAGCTGCAAGGGGAGCTGAATCCCTGTGATGGAGGAAAAAAAAAAAAAAAAAAAAAAAGCAAAACAAAACAACAACAAAAAAAATACTCTCGCAGCCTGTGAACTTTAACCAGGTTCCGAGCTACCCTGAGAAGTTAAAGAAACAATTGTCTTTTAACACAAGTTTTCCTTCACGTTTACTTATTCCGAGCCCGCTGGCAGACCCAGCGCTAAGCCGGCCAGTCAGATAAGCACATTACCGGGCACCATTCCTGAGCAGTCGGAGGAAAATCCCTTAAAGTGAAAATTCTGCTCTTTAAGAAAGAGACGCAAAACAAAACGCATTGCCTCGCCGCGCTGAGATCACGTCGGTTTTCAAGCAGAGGTGCTCCCAGAACCAGAGCGAGCTGATGAAAGGACTGCTATTCTTTGTATTCTGTTTCAG